GTAGTCGGCGGCGGCGCTACTGCTATACAATGAACACATCGTCTTTGGTCACCACCCTAGCCACTTGATAAAGTTTCAGCTAAGCGTTCGTGTGTAGGAGTCTATATACGTGTATACGAGGGAAGGGGTCAGCGAAACGGGTATGTACGTGGCACCGTTCTCCTAACTGTGCCGAAGTTTCAGCTAGTATAGAGAGAGGATAATAGTAGATAAGCTAAGGTGAGTTGGAGCCGCTGCTCCAGTTTCAGAACAGTTGCTCACTGTTCGCTTGCTGGTCACCCAACTGCTGGTGAAGCCGACTGTGGAGTGCTTTGCTGATGCGTATACCGTAAGCGAATACCGGACACCCTTAAAGCCCTGCAACACTGCTGGTGGGCTCTTGGCAGTCGGGTAAACGGTGTTGGTTGTAAGAGCTGCTTGCGTATGAGATTCGGGGTCGCCGGGTCCGTCCGTCGTCGGGGACATTTACTTCAGGGCTCAGACAGTCAGACAGGCCCATTGCCTATCCGTGGACGCAAGCAAGTAGGCAGAATTTAAGCTGCCCGGAAGTGGGAAGCTCCGGGTAGGGATTGGACTGCCAGGGGCATCGGATCTGTCGAGGAGGACCAAAAGGAAGGTGGTCTGTTGGGTGATAGGCCAGTTGCCAATATCTCGTACGAGGCCTCGGGCGGTAGGGTGACACCTTCAAGGAAGCCATCAAGACGACAGCAGCGACGGCAGCCAGCAGCTATCAGTCGTGAAAGTGAGCGTGCGGGTAAGGAAGCAGCAGGGGGATAGATTCAGAAGGTTGACGGGGGCTCAGTACTAAAGCAGGCAGCGAGAAGCAGATAAGAGATACATTGCACTTGAAAAGCTGAAGACAGAGGGATAACGGGCCAGTAGAAGAGCGATGCGCAGAGAAGCGAGACGGTCTTTTGAAGAAAAAGGAGATGAGGTAAGGAGTTCCTTGGCGTGCTCCTGCAGCACTTGCCACACAAACACTGGCGAATAAAATAGACTCTGCACAGAGAAGAGTGGGTCGCAGAGAAGAACGTAGGATTCGGTCGCTTTCGTGTGGCTGTCACAATAGGGTTCGTCGATAGCGAAGTCGAAGAAAGAAGGTTGCGTATGGGGCAGTAGAACCAGCTGGCGCGGCCTCCGGCAATTCGAAGTACCAAAGACGAAAACAAAGGAACTGGCTTCGAGAGGCGTATAACAGAAGCAGAAAAGAACAGAGAGGAGCTATGAAAGGATCGGATTAGCTCTGGCAGTGGAAAGTCTGCTACGCGGCCGGCAGCTACGGCTTAGCCGGCGCTCGGGCCGCCGTCACACTGCGCTGACATTGCCAAAAACAGGCGCAATGTTCGCCTTACTACTATAAGCAAGCAAGAGCTTTTAGTGCAGTCACCGCGAGAAACTACTATAGCCACTACTAGCGTTGCTCATTCGAACCCGGAAATTTCGGGGTTCACCGTCACCTTCCGACAAACAGCCGGCTCAGCTCATCTAAATCCGATCTTTCCTTTTCACTCATTATCTCGCAGCTGCTTACGGCTTACTGCAGATACTTGCCCCATTCTGCTTATCTGCGCCCGCCCAACCAAGCGACCGAGCGAACGAAGGCAAACCTGGGGGAACCTCTGGGCGAATCTTGAGGACAAGAATATGGCCATGGCCCAACGGTCAATAGCTCTCAGTGAACAAGAGGTCACGAAAGCTGCCTGAAGCCGATTTAAACGAAGGGACATACGGACAGAAAAAAACCATTTCAAAGCGACAACCGGAGACTGCTAGTGTCTGTCCTGATACAGTAGCAGTTTCGAGGTATAACCAAAAAAGAGCTTTCTAATATAGGTGAAGGAAGACGACCTTTGCTTATACGACAGTATTGTTACTCCTGCGAACTATACATAACTATCTGGCAACAGACTTCCCGAAAATTCTAAATGTATTCTCTAGCAATGCACTGAGCTAAATCGCTCGGGTAGACAACAGATGAGCGGAGTCTAATATGAAATAAATGTATCTCATAAATTTGAGCAAGCAGGTAATGAATGATAAAGAGACAGTCCTGCCTGGTGACCCGCCCGGTAACCTCCACCTTGCTGACACGTTTTTTTATAACGCGAATTATTGTTGCGTGTCGTTCTAAAGCGATAAACACACGCTATCGTTATGTGTTACAGTATGTAAATGTGCGACTAACGGAACACTGTTTATCCGGCCGTCTCATTTCGGCGCGTCGTCTAATTATTTAGTTTAATATCTGGCGGATGCATTTAGCTTGATGGTGCGACATCGATGCTTATTTGTGAATCACAGAATTTGCTCAGTGATTTTGTTCTTCTGACTCGACCATTAAGTCATGGTAGGATAACTGAAATTATAAAAACAATAATTATAGTACATATGTATAAAAAAAAATTCAGAGACCATATAAAATGCAATATACAATGAGTATTAATCCTTTTCCAATGTCGTTTTTCCTGATTTGTGGCTCTGGTTATTACGCAGAGGTCGCGTCGTTTTTCGTGTATAACAGCTTACGGACCTAGGTAAAAAGGTACATACACGGGGTATTCGTTGGAAATCGTGGAAAATATCAGTAGAGATTTCGTTCAAAGGCTTAGATGCAGTCTTCGGGCCGTAGTGTTGTATGGGCATTTATTGGTTCCTTTTTTCTATTTAGTTATTATTTGTTTTGTATTATTTATGTGAGCTTATGCGTATGACCAGATTATGGAGATTACTACTTGTATTTCTTTAGGTGATGAAGATTTCACTAGTAACTAGGTTACACTGGGTAACAGTGGAAGACTACTCTGGTGCTACTTATACTTTTGTCCATCATTTTTTGGACTACTTACTAATGTGTCCCTTTTTGGCAAATCAGGCCTGCACATGAATTCAGTTCCTTGCCTGAGCATCTGGTATAATCTGTACGATTATTTCGGGTTTATATTTTTTGGCTTACGTATCCTTATGAAGGATTTTTGATAACTACGAAATCTTTTTTTAAATATATAAGTATTCATGTATCTGTTTTTTTTTATAATACGCAGTTGATAAAAACTTGACGCTTACGTTGCTTTTACTTTTTCTAAATACCTTACATCTAACAAGAGTAACAAGCTTGTGGTTATCATCATTGGGATGATAATAAGCCAATTTCATTTTAAATGATCTAAAACAATGTTGCTGGCAAAGTTGGGATGGCATATGCGTGCATTAATACTTACACTTCATAGGACGCTACGCCCTTCCATAAAAAAATTGACATTTCGGTGCCGTAGGCATTCAAATAGTACCTTTCATCTACTTCCGTGTTTTTAGTACGCCAATAACTTGCACCTCATATATTTATCGCTTGTTCTCTCGCCCGGTCATATATTTTGGGATCTGTTTGCGTTTAAGTTACGACCGCAATCGTTGTTCCCCCTATTTAAAGCCGTATCAATACAGTTATTAAAAATACTCTGCAGTATATGTAAATTAATGCGTATAATCCAATATTTAATTTCGGTTTTCTTCGTGCCATCCGCGTTTGCCTACGACGCGCATAGTTCATAGTAATGCAACTGTCATAACATGAGAGAACCGGCACAGTGACTCCAAATACTTCCATTCTTGACAACCCTTTTTCTAATTTCCGTGAACAATTTCTGACTAAGCGTCAGAGAAATATAGGTTGTTAGAAAATCAGCGTTGACTCTAGCGCGTATAAAGAAACCCATAACAAATTACAGTGATCTCTGCAGCTTGCGTATCGGCAATAGTCCGACGTGATGCTTCGCTCGAATAAACACAAAATGGCTGAATATACTTAATAAAATATCCACCACCTCTGGTAACACCTAAGGTCCTTGGTTAAGACTCTTGCTTTTTAGCTAGAAAACACACCATGACTCTAAAATACGTTTCGTGCACGCCGTACATCCAAGTCACCGCGGTTGTTGTCGAGGGTCAAAAAAAAATCTAAGTACTCCCTTCCGCTATAAGGCGGTGTGCTTTTCTGTAAAAACGTAATTACCTGGTTGAATTTACTAATGTTAAAACAATTCCATCGACGATAACGAGCGATGCTGCATCAACAGGCCAATGTTAGTACAATTAGTAGAAAAGCAACGTTTTTCAAGAGAGTACAAGTAGCTGTACTATTTACCATATTCATCCTTGATTTTGAAAACAGAGACAAATCATGCACAAGTTATCCTGCGTATACAGAGAGCTCCATTTCTAAATAGATAGTAACGCTAACGTGAAGTCTTTCTTTCGCCTGACAAACTTGCTTTTCAGGATAACTCGCCTTTTACATTTATGCATAGATATACAGGATAAAAAAAGCGAAGGAACATAAATAAACATTTTACATCTATTAAGGGTGCAATATAAAGCTTATTTATATATTAAAAAAATATATATTGATATATTAAAGTCGGGCAAAACTGCCGGAGTAAGAGCTAACGTGACACAAAATGCCTGACTAGCAAAAATTAATCCGGTATTGACGATGGCTGGGTACCTAACGGGGGAAACGTCAAAATGTAGTAGACGGGTTGCCTTTGTGGGAGTTCTTATAGCACTGCTGTTGCCAAAAATCTTTTAATGTGGAGCACAATCAGGTTAAACTACCCGCGAGTGGACAGGAACGGGAGCGAGACCATCGAAAGGCTCAACGAGGTACCTTGTTTACCGTGTTGTGCAACAGCTTGTTTATATGCTTTTATAATCATAACTCCACCCTAAGAGCTAACGAGCTCTATCATCGCCACCCATATGATACGATGGAGTAATGGGCTCAGTAACAGACATGCACGTACGTACCCAACTTTACCTTTTGTTATATATCTACGTGAATACTAGGTACCATTATGGTGTGCTAAAGGTATAACAACATAGAACACAGAACCATTACAAGACCAAGTGTATTATATATCACTTATTATAATGAACATTTAATATTGTTTTGTTCTTTGCTATATTTGCCGTGGAAGGGCGACATTCATGATGTGTATCTGAATCTTCTAAAGGTAAAAGGCGGGTGCATCCAAGACAATGGACGATCTTTCAGCCCACTTTTATCGTGCAAACGGTTTGCGAACGGCGCCCTTGGAGATGTTACGCAGACGATTGAGGGCATCGAGGCGACGCGAACAACACTGTATATAGCTAGAAATCGGAAAAGGGCGAAGTTAGATGCTGCACGAACTCCACCACTTGTACCCGCCTATCCGTCTGTTGTGGTCGCAACGTGTTGTATGCAGAAGAAATTCACCTATGGCGGATCCTTCCACTAGATCTCATAGCTAAAGCATGGATCGACTAAGTATAAGGTCAGGGTAACTATGCCGCCTTAATCGTTGCCAAACTAACCGTTGGACTAGCGATATGATTAAGCGGAACGTAACCACAGCGGACTGCACCATGGAACTGTGCATGAAATCGATTTGTTTGGATAGCTCTGGCGCTTCTCTGATAAACTTCTGCCCCCTCGGCACCAGACATCGACGGAGACAGCAATCCACCAAAAGGCTCATAATCAGATAACTTTGTTGGGTCATTTCAATGGGAGTCAGTGGTAGTGTTTCAACTCCATGTTTCCAGCTGCCTAGTAGTCCCATACTGGATGTGTATGTACCGAATTGGAGAAAATCGATGGCCCACAACAACAGATAAATTCAACCGTCGCGCACAACCTAACAGCGTATGGTCTGTCGTACGATAACTCTAATCCAGTTAATCAATTCCGAGGTGGAGTCTATCCAATACCGTGCATTTTATCGAAGAACTGTGGACGACTGTAGAAGGCTAGTAGGAGTCGCGTGATTCGCTGTACAATCGGTGGATGTGGAAATATGGGGGCTTATAGCAGGAACGCCATAGGCCTTGTTTGTCTTTAGATTTAATTACCTTATTAATAAGTAAAAACACTAAATATACGTACGTATTAATCTAAATTGATTGAGAACGTTCAAATCGACCGTAGAATTCAACAGGAAAAAATTTGTAGGCAATCGAGATCTAAATGCTATGACTTAAGATACAACGCTGTTCTATCGTATAACCGGACATAAACAGGAAATAGACAAAAAAAACTTCATAGCACAACGGTGCGCCGTTAAAACTACAGTTAAGCCAATTGCTGTTTAAGCCAACACTGAACGGTAAAAAGATTATTTGAAGTCAACCTTATCCACCTGAGAGGACTCAATTGAGCAGAAATACCTTGGAAATCACTATGTGATAAATAAGCCTCGACGCCGACGCGTGGGACGAGTTGGGCCACGAGAACCTAAAGCAGCACAATCCAAGGGCGGCCCAACATTTGTCAAGCTACCGGGTGACACTAGTTAAGGAAGTGACCAATACCCTTTGCTGTGTGAATATATATTGGTAGTATATGTGGCATGCTGTCATAATGAGGAATGTATTAACACACATACTATATATGCGAATTCAGGGAAACTTTCGAGTATCACGTGCAGTTTCAGCTAATATAGAAATTCTGGCCAAAATCGGGTCTATTATTCTTAAATATATGGTGAAACAAAAACAAATGTAAGTGCCTTTGCTACACGTACCTGTTTGGACGGGATTTTTAAAAAGCTAGCTTCATTGGAATGAGTTGGTTTCTTTCGAACGAAGGCAATTACGAAGTCGAATTTTGGGCAATAGTTTAAAAAAAATCACCTCTCTGCTAGTGGATGCGGATAACATCGTTCGTACGAAAAATGAAAAATAAGGAATACGAGCTTTTTGTTCCGTACATGTACGTCCATACAATCGTACCTGAATGTTCGCAACGACGACACGGAATTGCTGCTTCACATCGCATGTGCCCAGTCACTTTGTTGTGGTACGGTATAATAATTATGCTAATACCCTCCTAATGAGGTTCTATTGCTGTTTAAGCAAACTAGCAGCTCAATTAAGGGATGTCAAAACAAAGTACCAAGAATAGTGATTAGAATATACGCCCATTTCTCTGCTTGCGTATTTGCTGATTCTCAATGTTCGCATTTGTATTTTGAAAGTATAGTCATTCAGTCGAGACAGTTTAGTACCTTAAAACTAGTTTTACCTGACCCATAGCCAAAGTTCTCGCATTATAAAACTATAACCGTATTAAAGGACCTGCAGTTTTCCACATACATTCTAGCAAAACGCTTGCCTCTTGGTCAAAGGCAGGCAGCATAATCTGAAAAAATGACGAAAAATACAATTAGTAACAGCTCACTTTCTGCATATAACTTTACGCCGTACTTGTAGTAATAGTTCAGTAACCTGATGATCAATTTCGATGTGGTTATATATTAAAACTTTTGAAATGATCCGCCTCGAAATGATTCAACGTACGTAAACGGAAGGTTTATACATTTCCGTCAAATCCACCAAAGACAGCAAACACGAATGACGTACGGCATTCGAAAGCAAGCTACAAACAATACGTGCATAATAGCATTCATCCGAAAGCAGAGTTGACAATACTGAAACGGAGACCTATTCAATCGATTCTATGTTCTTCTAAAATTTCTTGAACTCTAGCGGTGAACCACATATTTACAATGCCTTTCCATGACCTTCTCCTGCCTGTCCTACTTTTTCCGCCCGGAAATCTAGATGTCCGGTATTGAACTCGTCCAGTTAGGGTGTTAGACGCCTCCAACTATGAACATATGCGATTACTAAATTTATTTGTCAGAGATCGGAAAATGTGATAACCTATAGGAGCGAGGTATGTAGAATACAGGGGTTAAGAAAAACCTCACATTTAAGCTTTTGCAGGGAGCGCTTCACAATCTTTGTCATGTGCAGCGTAGCGTTGTCGCGGAGAAAAATGATTTTGTGAGATCTATTAGGCCGCCGGTGTTGCCAGACAGCCTCGCTCACTCGACGCTGTCTTCTCCGGAACAGTATTTCGTAGCGTATGAAAGCCCCGCAAACCATCGTCTTCCTGGGATAGAGAGCACTTCGGAGTGGGGTATAGACAAACAGTGAATAGGTAAGAGGATGAGGGTACATCAAAAGCAAGTCCATACATGTTACATACATGCACGCTTGTGTACACATTGATATAAACAGCTATATTTATATGGATATCATTACTGTCATGTAATGTATAGCCATCGTACTATTAACCAAATTGGTCCTAATATGTATACAGTAAAATGCAGATTTTCTGATGAGCCTTTGACCCTGTCGTCGCTATCCAAGTCGATATCAGTGACAGATATTCTCTCCGGGTGGATATCTTCACCGTTCTGCGCTGCGCTGCGCTGTCATTCAACAACAATGCGCTTTCTGTCGTACTACATTTCTTATGTTTGTTCACATCCTGCACGTTTCCTCAATTGTCTATAAGGCTCATGATCGTAAGCGAGACTTCGGAAAGAACCACACATTTTTACTGCCAATTTCCAATGGCTACTCATCCAATTCAATTATAACAGCCATATTCAAAGACCACTTGAGGCTCAGGCAAGCTAGTGCACGTTATCTCTCTGATAAAGAAATTAAACTCATGCATCGTCATACACGTTTATATTTATGCATAATTTCATATGGCGTACACAAAATAGAGCGGTAGAAAAATAATCAGCTGCGTTTTTAGTTGGCTATCTGGCTGTAAATCTGCGGTGTTTCCCACTTTGCTGTGGTGCTAAGCGACAGGTCCTTGAGGGTCTTGGATATATAGTACACGCTGGAATACAATTAACCGAGATATGATCGTGGTTCTGCCCATGTGCTTTATCACCTTCCCCTCGCACTACTGTGACTCCCTTCAGCTTCGCACAAATCAGATGCCTGTGATATAATGATTTTAGAAAGTTGGTCTAGATGCCTCGCTCGGCAAGCGGGATCACTGCCAATAAACAAATATATATCGCTTTCATTGGAAAGCTTATCGCGCTGCGGTGGCCCTACAATTGTCTATATTCATTTCGGCGTACCGTAATTACGCAAGCGGAGAATATTGGAGTTATAGGATATATATAGATATAGGAGAAATAGGCTTAATGTAGCCAGTAAGGACGAAATAGCTAGTACTATAAAATGAATAGTCGGCTCGATGGCTGCATAGAGGAAATTTCTATTGTAATTAAACCTACTTGCGGTTGAATCTTGCCTCAACATCAAAAGCGACAGGAGGAGTGCAATGTTTGAAGTAGTTAGCAGCCATGAACATGTAAAGCAATCCCTGCATACTCGCTAGCCGTCAGCTCCGGCTCTGGCAGCCATCAACTTTCGACTAGTCTCTCGTGTATTGCAGCCAGACTCTCGGGTGGTTTGAAAGTTGATATAAGTTCGCTTAAATGGGGGCTGCCTGAGTTTTTTATTGCTCAGTGCTCCAAGTTTCATAGCCTGGATCCTTCTAATCTCAATTGGCGATACCCGCCGCTACCTCCTGCTTATCGATGGACTAAAAGGCTCCGCATGATCTGATGCCCGTCGTTTCTGTAGAGAGTTGTTCACAATGAGGGGTATATTTATACAGAATGAAAAAGTCCAGTAGACGCTTATTGCGCTATATAAGTCACTGATCGGTCACCCAGTAAAAATATCGAATTATCATACAATGCAGCATATGATCCCTAATATTGATGCAGAAGCTAGGACAGAACCAATCTGCTCGCTGCAATACTGTCATATTGAAACTAACAGCTTTCAATTCACATGGGTTCATCTATGAGAAAGGATATCTTGTGGACATAAAACGGTGAGAGGAAGCTCATCGTTAAGTTATTATCACGTCTGATTTTAATAGGGATTACTACTAACAGCAAGTTAGTTGCTGTTTATTCTTAAATTATGCAGTGAAGACAGATACTGCTCATTTCTATTTTCAGGCGCTCAACTCTCCTCGGGATGGGTCGTACTACAGCAGGATACCATTGCCGTATATAGCAATGTCGGCACAATCTTTTTATTTCTAGGTTTTGACGGTATGGCTATAAACAGTGTTCTAACGTCTGCTGTGAACCCCTGTATCTCTTCTGCACTTTTGGGTATGTTTTAGAAAAGCGTTGAGACATGCAGTGCCTATAGACGACATTAAAGCAAGAAAAACTATTTTGCTATGAGCAGGCGACAAACATAATGAATTTATCGGAAGCATAAGCTTAGGAGATCTGAAAAGCCATCTAGCCTAGCTTTGCTATATTCGTTACTTGTGTCGTTTGTGCCGAACTCAGTGCAGCGAGTCTAAAAAGTTGAATCTTACATCCTCAGATAAATATGCGGCATATATCTGATTAACATCAGATTAAGTTAAAAAGAACTTGTAATTACATCTTTTTTGTACTGCTGTACAGTGAGTACTAAATGTAACTAGAAATGATATCTAATATCAATTCATAAAAAAAGTAATGTCAAAAACCTAAATTTTACTAATATACGACATTAAAAAAACGAAAATTAACGCGCAAGTTCTACAGAGAATATCCTCATTTTTTTGTTTACTTGAAATAAAAAAAGCTGACCCATGAAGAAAACTTATTCGGAACAAATATAATATTTTACATTTAGTTCGAATTGGTCAATAGCGAAACAAAAATAATATAGGTGATCGCATGACCTTATCGTGAGCACACAATGATGTTCTCCTGCGTCCTCTCAAGGTTCATCCGTCTTCTTGAAGAGTGCCTGCTGTTTTTGAACAGCTACAGATCTAGAGACAGCTGGGTGAACTCAAGAAGTTAATCGCTATCGGTCGTCGATGAATCAGGATCCCTCGGGCGTTCCTCATCACTAAATGCCAGGTCAGTATACTTCACTGGTTTACGGTATTGAGCAAGCAATTCCCGAAATTCTGCACGGCTAATCTTCTGCAGCTTCTTCAATTCAGTTTCGTGGTCTCTGAAAATGTAGGCCCATGCGGACGACGACATGAAAATCACTTCCACACAAATACGTTTGCACCCGTGGGTATGAACATTAGAGGCAAAATTTAGACAATGATATGCAAACCGCAACGATTAATTATATACTGCTAATGTAGCTCTCTCGCACAATAGAAATTAACACTGCGGTACCTGTGGCAAATCGAGTGAATTAGCTTGAGGTCATCTCGGCACTTGATGATCTTTTTCATTTTGTACATCAGCCGTTCGAGGTTTTTTTCTACCTGTTCCTTTCGAAGCCGGTTATGATCCAAGTCGACTTTCATCAGTTTTTTCGAATACTTCATCAAAACTGTCGTTACTTTTGCTGTATTCTGCACCTGGTCATTTTGAAGCTGGAACCAAATTTGTTCAAAAAAGTTCCTTTCCGATGAACGAAAAGTTCTCTAAACATTTGGAGGACAAATCAAGTTAATGCGTTTTATAATAATATCGCACCTATGTTGGAAAGAAAATTTTTTGCTTACATTTTTCGACTTTCCTTCTTTTCCTTACTTGTTTACTTCTTACATGCTCTTAAGAAATGCTCTTCTAATGCAATTTCAACTCTAGGTGAAAGAAAGTGAAGTCTTCGTATGTTCTGTACAATAAATATTGTCGAGCCTAAAATGTTTCCAAAACAGCCCGCAATATTTTTAACGACGCTATCACTATAAAGCAGTTCACTCTTGAGCAGTTAAGTTACTCTTATCTTAAAAACGGCCCAGAACTAGAGGATGTTCCCGCTCTAGTTGACAGTCTGGGTTAACGCTGAATCTCAAAATTTCGCCCGGTATCGAATGTCACGGGGTCACAATTAAACGATTTTTGGGCAGAACTGTTACCGACAACAACAAGTAGTATTCGCACGTATCTATGGACTAGCGATTGGAATGAGTGGCTCCAGGAGGAAACGCCAACGCTTAGAGCTTGACTAAATCTTCATCTAGTTAAGGTTATACTTCACGTTCGGTGGGACTACAGCGCCATATTTACCAGCCCTCGCCTTCCACTAACTTTAGTAAATTAACTTTAGTTAACATGGCTATTCAACAGAAAAGACGCAATGGACTAGGTCAAGTCATTCTACTGATACAATGCGAGAGCATACACCGCAGACGTAGTCCAAGCTGGTCTCCTGAACTTCAAGTGTGCCCTGCATATTTTCCACACTCTACACTGGCGGAATATTCGCTCAGATATTACCTTCGATGCCTTATTTGCATTATGCCTATTTCTCTGAGACGAGGAACAGCGTTTGATGGGAAGATAGGAGAACGTTGCAATCACTACATAACATTGTAACTCATTGTCATAAAAATAAACAAAATGGTTCTTTCCCTTCAGTAAAGAAGCAAGCTTTCTTCCCAACATAATACAGCCGCATCTATAGAAATATACGTGTAATGTTGAAACAGGTCATGAACCCGTCTCACTTAAAGTCCACATTTAGGAAATAAAAAATCGTGTCGTTATCTCACACTTCTGCCAGTATATAACTAGGCAGTAAATAAAGTATGTATTAAATTTTGTTAACTACCTTTTGAAATCAGTAAACTTCACTGAACATGCCACTGAAAATCAATTTTTTCTCTTCCCTATGCTACTACCTATATCTGTGTTAATAGTCGAACGACGAAAGCCTTGCGCGGAAAATTAGCTTCAAAACCTAAATGTTTAGAAAATGGCCGTAAAGTTGCATAGAATTTCGACCATCGTGTATATAGGATTATCACGAAAAACATAGCTTGCATTGGATTGTGTTTACCGTCCATTAAAATAACAGAAGTCTCTATAGTTTGTAACTTACCTTATAATTTTTTGGTATGAGGCGAACATTGATACATCGACTCAAGAAGGCAACCTTATCAAGGTACTCTGCTAGCTGAATACCGAAGTCGTGATACCGCCTAGCTGCGCCCAGTGCTGCAGCTCCGTATGAACTTCGCAGCCGTTTAGCAAAGGCTTCATCGTCCAGAGATGAGGGAGGCGGCCGTGGCTGTGAACTAGCAGCCATTCTCGTGACCAATCGGACGAATATGTTCCAACTTCCCCACCACCCAGCAATGAAATCCTACGAGTTACCAAGATCAATCGTGATCATGCCTTAATTGTTTTTGCCGCAATATGCAAATTCCTAATAATCCAAAAGAACATATCTGTAGTGATATTAGGAAACGCTGTACACTACGCGATCAATAGTGCCCTGCTGAATACAAACCGAATTTTTCTGGAACGGTTGACCCTCGATTGATCACAAGCAGAGCGTCGACTTCGTCTTTGCCCCGTAAAGGTTTGTCCAGCTCATCGCCCTCAACTAGTAGCGGTACAGAAATAGATGACGGAGGTGTGACTGTCAGTGGCAAAAAAAGTACAGGGGCAGAATTGAACGCCGCGATCAGATGAGTCACCCCGATATTGAGAATTGAAGTAGTCTGCTGCGGCAGCTAAAAGCTTCATTGAATACGACGGCCTACTTACAGTCACTCTAATGCTAATCATTCTATTGCTAGCCGGGGAGGGTAATGCTGGTAAAATAAGGCCAACAACCATGTGTCGTTTGCTTTGAAGGGCTACAATTTTCAAGGACAGATGTGTTTTCTCTGATAAAGGGTTTTCTACTCTAAAGAATGAAAAACTATTCCATAATCAGCGAGTGGGGTGGTTCGCACCGCCGAGGAGATATCCCAGGCGATAATCACATCTCGCTTAAGGACAGCCACGTTGGTGCCTGGCCGCTTTTGGCGACGCCACAATCAACGCGACCCACGGAGAACTATAAATTCGCGTAAGTGTTCGGCTGATGGCACGCACTTTGACGACAGCTATAGAAAGTTCGGAAATTATCCTTTTTGAGCTCATGTACTGGACTATGCTATTGATCTGTTGTGGAATATGCAAAATTGTACTCATTCACATATACTACTGAGTCCTCTTTGTTGTTATCGTGGGAGAAGCGAGAGCTATGGGACATTTGGGAGAGCGTTTTAACAGGGCGAAGTTTGCCTGGTTAGTGGTGTTCAAATCTTCTATAGGCTGAACGTGATGACAATAACGCTTTACCTATTCTTTGCCTAAAGGCAAAAAGTGACGGAAGCAGCTTTGATTTGTTTATTTATGTTATTGACTTTGTCCTATTATATATATGTTGCTCAGATTTATTACCTCCTAGGCATGGCAGCGTCTTACAGTGCTATTCAGATCAATCAAAGAACAAATTATCAAAGCACTCGTTATAACCTATTAGACTTGGGTCCCGTTTCATTGCAATCGGACGCGGCGGTTTCTCCTTTGTATCCAGCCCTTATTAAGGACACAGCTGTATACCGCTTATTGACCAAATTGAAACGATGTGTTCACCACCCGCCAGACCCTATGAGGCACAGGGGAAGCAGTTTCCTTTATTCATACAAATAGTCTTTTATGTGTCGTTGCTATTATCGGGGTTATATCTTTGCAAAAGCAAACGCTATGCATCATCTGTTTTGCTTGCCTTTATTATAGCCTGGGGTTCGTTATGATAGAATCGTTGTTTTCAATAGCTGGTTCGCCATTCATTAAAGATTAAAAAATAGCTTCCCACATAGACCCAGACACAGTCTCTTCTTTCGATTGTGGTACCCTATAGGTAGTTATTCGAAAGAGCCAGTTAGAAAGTCTTTACCGTTATTCTGGTTTGCTTCGAATATTAACTGACAGACCAATGTTTGCCTTTTTGTATCCGCGGCTATTTTTTCTAGAACACCTCTATCTTTATAATCAAATATACAATACATATGGATCGACCTATCTTTCACCAGTCACGAATGTGTCTAGGCAGCAAGAAAAACCAAACGTGTATCAATAGAAAGAATAAAGTAATATTAATCCATTTCCTTGGGACAAAACTGTCATCCTGGTATTGCAAATACCACCTTTATGCTTAACATGCGCTTAAGTGGGGCCTCAATAAAGTCGACAGGAATGAAAACAATGGTCTAAGAAAACACATGCAGGAAGCGGCAGCAGATGATACGTTTCGAAAAAGCTATAGCAGGATTTTGCATCTACCGTCATTACTACATTGATCGGCAGGGTACGCGGTAAAAAATTGCCTGAAAATATAGACCCACCCACACACACACACACACACATACACATATACGCACACGTGCACTCACGCACATGCCCACATAACCGACGCCCAGAAACACGCACACTAGCTAGACGAAACTCTTTTGACGGTCTAAGAGTTTTCACTGATTTTTTACCCTCATTTTCAATATACTGATAGTTTTGCTATTTAAACAATTGCAAAATGCAGACTCCCTAGCTGTCAAGTATCCTTTTTCAAATTGTTGCGAAATTTTTACCCCATCCTGTATACAGTCAAGGAGGTATATTGTAAACAGCTGTTAGAATTTGACGCGATTAGGGTACAAAATCCATTGCAACTGTCTATTCCTTTACAATACAAGTGGACGTTTTTTACAAATTTCCCTATTAGTTATTATAGAGTATATCAATAAGCATCTGAGCGAAAAAAAGTATGCAAGTCCACACTAACGTCATTAGTATTGTCCGTTTAACCATCATCGTAAGACCACTTCCATGAAAAAATGAAGCATATGTCTAATTGTACTTTTCTCTTTCTCGGAAAGCAACGAAAGAGGCTTACGTAGCGCACTAGTAGTCAAGCCGAGTGATGTTACCACACAAAGCAATCGAGTTCTACCAAGGATCACACGTTTCCAACACGAATAGAAAAGTACAATACGATTGAAATCAATGCATTTGTGTATTATAAATGAACAATTCGAAAAACTTGTACAAGTTTTGCTTGTATTTTACAAAGCTACTCCTTGTCTTTTTAAAAAATAACACGACTCAAAATGCGACGTCAAAAGATCTATCCAAACGTAACAGAAAAAACAGCAATAGTTCTTTTTTTTTTTTTTTTTTTTTGTTTAGCATATGTTTGCGAAAAAAGAAGCTCTGCAATAGATTCTGTACAGAAGTGCGATCATGTATCGGGTAGATGACGTTTTGCAACACGGCTGTGGCATCGTCCACTGTGGCTTCTGTGGCGGCTTCAAGTTGCTATGAGCGTTACATGTCATGAAATTCAGCCAACGTAGCAGGTAAGCGTAAGGCGACAGTGAGCCCTTATGACCGTGCACTATTTCCGCAGCCATAAAGAGTACGCACAAAGACACGCCAGGTCTGTGTCAGAAAGATAGCAATTCTGGCAAGTAGGCGAACATCACTTTATCAGGATTGATACTTCGCTCGTCCGTTGACAGGAGGTTGTCGAAAGCCTGATCGACTCCAACATCTGACGGTGATTTGTGGTTTTTCGGCGGATCGTGGGTCAACAGAGCAGCGCCGCTGGCACAGAGGCAACTATACGCAGGGAGAACGTTACAGATTCGGCGGTTAATAACCCGAGTAAGTTAAAATTTTTTTTATTCAAACTTTTAGATGACCCCCCCCCTCCTGTTCAGAGACAAATTCAACCAGAGAATCCGCTGGTAGAGACTGGTATCGTCAGTGGTGCCACGTTTGTTTAAGGACGCTCAATATTCCAGAGTGGTGCCACTAATCAACTGCTGTTGCCGATTATTCTGTTAGTTCATCTGCTGACGTTCAAACTCGTGTCTACGGAAATTAGGGGGATTTGCCGTTGACGCGACCCCATGGTTACCACCATCCCCACTGATTTTTCCATTGGTTCTTCGCCAGAGGCGAAATCTTTTATACGAATTTAGATAAACAAAGGCATACACACGCTGAGAGAGAATGTTTTGCTGCCAAGTTTTACTACCATGGTCAGCACCTTTAGACCCCTGTACGGGCTTTGTTCGGAGTCCCTGACCTTCTCTCGCTTCGCTCATTCATGTCTATAGGAATTGCCGAGCAATATTCTACCGTGACAGAAATCCGACTCTGTGTATCTCCACAAGATTAACTCTTGGTGTACAACAACATAGGGACAAGCAGACGACGAGCGGTTCTGGCATTCACGTCAAGAGAAAGAGAGTGCGAGAGAGGGAGAGAGAAAGGAACGGTACGAGAGTATTGCTCACACGGTTGAATGTACGCGTAGGGTGAACGCGCGAAAAAGAACGAGCTGCGGGTAGTTTACCCTTACAGCCGGCGCCCTGAAAAACGACTCCTACCGAGGGCTAAGGGGATTTTTGAGTCGGGCGTGCGGGCCAAAGCAGCAGCAGCAAAGGACGCACGTGACTTCGCGGTTCGTGAACCGTCTGCTCTCTTTTTATTTCCCCAAATCTCTTTGTGTTGACCTGCCCAGATAGGGACGGATCGCGACGACCACAGGTTTCAGCCTCGATGCCGATGCTGCGCCGCGGATGACCGCCGCTGCTCGCGACCCGTAACCGAGCTAATCCAACTCGTCTGCACATGCTCCCGCAAAGCTGCAGTGCTTGTCTTTCGCTCGGTGGCCACCCATCTGTCTGTTGTGACATGCCCTTCCGGTAACAATCCCCATTTTAGTTCGTGCACACGGTTTTTATCGCATAGCTATAACTAGTAAATGCTTGTCACCTACAAAAGCTCGACCTAATTTACAAAAACTACATCCATTATGACTCATGAACGCGCATGTGCAGTTATAAATGAAATAAAGAGGTCGAATCTTCTTATAAGAACTCAAGAGGCAAACCAGTCGAAGATCAGGAGGAAAATACTGTTATATTATATATTTGACGCATGTTAAACATATGAAGAAGATGTAAGTGATATCAGCGCGAAGATCGTCGGATTAAAAAAGTTGGTTCGTTTTATGACTCATAGCGGTGGTTTATATGAGCGTATAACTTTGGGTAATAACTAGAGTCAGTGTATCTCCATTTGATGCGGGTTGATGCTTGGATTCATTGCCTGGTATCAAGGGCAGGCGGGACATTTTTTTCATTACAAAATACTCATAATAAATGGGTTTAACGCTTCAATATAACTTTTACACAGCAAAGTATGTGTATTGATGACGCTTCTAAAATCAATTCTTATCGAGATTACTTTAATTTAATAATAACCTTTAACTCAACATATTATTATAGATAGTGGACGATAGCTACAAGAATCTCGCTATCTTGGACCTACCGCTGCTGCTATAGCTATCTCTCGAAGACTCACTCATTCGGATCGGAGTGTTCGGGTTGGCACAGTTCTGACTTGCTTAAAAAACATTAATATGAAAGGAGCAGATAGAATATATATTTCATCATAGCGCAAGCTAAATCAGCCAACCGAAACGTGGGGCCACAATTTACATGGTGTATACCCAAAATACGTAAAATCTAGTGTCAAGGCCAGCCATCTTAGATGAACTTACCTAGCAGCCATTCTATTATACAGGGCAAGGCAATGTTTTTTGACACATATGCTAGTAACTTTTTTATTAGGATTACGTACTCTATGTTAAGTAAATTATATATATATTGTACAAGTGAAGATTCTAAACTCTATGAAGAACAATGGTATCGATCTATGCTTTTTGGAGCAGCACCGTTGCAGCGGTGTTAAAAACAGGAATCCCAAAACGCATGGTGTTAAAGAGATGAAGGGCAGAGGGTGGCATCCGTTTCTTAAAGGATCAAAACTATGTTTCTGAACTACTATTAGCAGCAATGCACACGACTTCAATTTGTCTGTACATACCCTAAAGAATGACCATACTCTGTACAAATAACATGAGGATTTTTGTAACGATTTCAGGCGGTTTATCGATGAATCCTTAAAGGACCAATCGGGCTGGCAGAGGTTATAGAGCGCCCCTTTTTTTGAGTCACCATTTTCAATATAGTAAACTGCATTGAGTACAATTATAGCAACTATTCCACTCGATAGCATGTTGTCATGAATCGAGCTATTGGTTACTACTAGTGGTTTTTTTTTTCTTACGCGATCGATGCCGCTGGCTGGCGTCTTCACTTCAGTCTCGTTTCTCATTTTGTAGCAAGTTTGCTTTTCACGCTAGTTAAAGCTAAAAATATGTACATCTAAATCCTTCCACCTGATGGCGATCCAAATATCTTTGGGATAATACTTTGCCACACCAAATAGAAGCCTACCAGTTGTTTATACAGGATGCGCCTAGTATCAACTGGCTTACCACATGAATTTTCTCTCTGTGTGTTCACTAGACTCAGCAGCACTAGCGGATATAGTATAATCATCCTAAACGAGCGGTCACTACGATGCTACATGTCTCGGGGTCGACTAACTTTATGTCTACCGTCTGCAACTTTATATCTCTCCAATACTGCAGCACTGGCGGGCCTTTCTTGTTGTCGAATTTCGCTGGTCGTACAAGACGGACAATTCTCCATATTCCTTCTCCTGTGCAAGCCCTTCTACCTTAGCTAAGTCGGGCGACCTTTGCGGCACGCATTTCAACTGGCGACGGTGGTACAGATGTTGTACGTTAAGACGCGTGAGGAGCGAACAGCTCGCAGGCCCCTGGCCAGCCAGCCAGCCAGCCAGCCAACCAACCTCTGACGATGATGTCATTTGCGCACGCCATGCTGCGTGAGCACACGGCTCCTAGCACATTCAGTTCTTTGCTCACACTGGCCCTCCACGGTCCACTACCTATAACTTCTTTTCTCTTCTGTTTTTCTCGTCTTCGACGTCCGTTCAATGGGGCCCAGCTATCACCAAAAAGAGTTCTACATTGCCGCTTGTTATGGCGTTCGGTGCACTCCCCTTCGAACTCCGAGTAGCTACAGGCTCCAGGCGATTTCCGTTTCTTACTCCGAGTGAACGAACGACGGTCGAAACAGAACGAGTGAGGTGGGACAAGCCACATGGATCAAGGCTCTTTAGAAGGGCCTCGTACTCGTCTACTGTGCGTCTTTACTGCGAAATCATAATACCTTCGGGATAGCCAAACCATATCACAGCCTCGTTCATTTTTCTCTATCTCCTCCTTTTACTCTCTGTAAAGATTTTTCTCATCGTCTACATCCTTTCACGCATCTAACCGTGCTATCGTCGAGGATAGCGGTCTGCGGCGTCACCTCCTTTCGAGCTGTGCGGTGGTGAATATGGAAATGTAATGTCTTTTCTAACGCTGGCTAGATGGTCTCTTACTACCACGTCTGTGGGCTTGACCCATCTGCAGCAATCCGGCGGCGGCAGTAATTTTTTTCCCCATATTTTAAAAACATACGTAAGCCTCGCCAACAGGAGGCAATCTGCAGAGATATACGACGAACATATCAACTCGACTGTCATTTTTGCTTTGGATTATCATAAAATGGCTATCGACAACAACGTCAAGACTTGGGCTGAATTACATACTATTGGAACCTAATCCGAAACCTCACGGTGAAGATTTGAATAATGCATTACCCTCTCACCGATAGGCAAATATACACGTAATAGTAATATTTTGACGTACGAATTGCAGTACCGAAAATTTTCTAAATGCTTACTCACTTATTTATACTAGGAAATAATATGTTATTAAACAGTAACGTATAGTTTCCAATGTGCTTTACGTTGAATCTCCTATAAGGAATCGTACGTTCAGATACATTTAATGATACTGGAACCACTTCAGAATTACTGAACGAGTAAACCACATATGTTCTATATATATAAGGTTTAATCAGACGTTAGCTCTGGTTTGATGCTCATATGTGCTCCCAGTCGGTATACTTCAGTCGCAACACAAGTTATACAGCGGTATTTTTAACATTAGTTGCAGATTGGGGATTACTGATCTGAACGACGTCATTTAATGTTCAAAAACCAGAGCATACTTTACAGGACGGCTCTTTAGCTATTTTAATTAATAATAAAATACAATTATTATAACCTAATATATCTGTATTGTTATTTATAAATAATTTCTCCGTTTGCCTTGGGATAAATTCGGCTTGGATCCGCTGTTATGCACAGGTAATCTGCAACGATAGGCTACGGCTTTGGCAACTAGGATACCCTTTAACAGTAATCAGTGAGGGTCACGAATGTGTGCGCGGCCTGAAATGTCATCATCTTAACCAATGACTAACCTACTTCGGGGTCGAAATTGGGTCAGTGGTCTCTTAATAAAGAGACTCGTCTACTACTACATTCATACGGCCGTACAGCGGGATGAAGTCATTGCGCTCATTTTTATCAGTATGGAGAATATGAAATACGTATAAAGGTATACGTATAAAGGTAAAGTTGAACTCCTCTGAGTTCAACGGGCAAAGGACAAACCCATAATACAACCCTTATTAGTGCTACTGAACCCTGTTTCTGCGGTCTCCTTCAGCGAAACAAACCTGTAATTGTTCGTTTAGCCGTCGCTTACTCTGCCGTTGTGGTTATTTACACATCGAAAAGTTATAGACTGGAAAACGCAATACTTCGCGTTGTAGTATTGCATTGTGGCAGCATCCTTAGCAGTAGAAGCAGAAAACATTGTTGGAAGCGAGACTGCGACCTGTGAGAAGCCGGAGCGGCATCAGGCAGTAACATATGTTCCTTGATGCAACTGTGTCGTTCGTTGCTTCCACTAAACAAAAAAAATACGAGTGCTTGTTGTCTAGTGAGATGTACCACCTGGTAGCACTGCTACCTTAATACTGCTAGTGCAATCAAAAAGGGCAATTAGACAGATACGGGTGCAGCCAGCTCATCAGTGTTCCGCCTCATCTGAAAGAAGCAAGCTTTTTTTGTATTGCGACTTGGGCCAACAGCGCTCCACATCAACACGAACAACACGATTCGCTCACTGAACTTCCTCATGAGGCCCACGTGTGCCAGCAACGCTAGCGCAACCGCAATTCCCCACACTTTGTAGCCCGTAGTTTTGGGGTTTCCATTCCCCGACCCCAACCGAACGACTACTCTGTGTAGCCGCGTCCAAAGAGATGCTCTTCTCCAAGCAAAGCTGTTAGCTTGGCGTGTTCCACCAGTTGAGTTCTGAGATTAAGCTGAATTAGGCTAATCTGACGCTGAGAGGCGACGCGTAGAAGAAAAGAGGCAGCCACTGTTGAGACGCTGAGAAAAACGTAAATAAAATCTTTCAACCGGCCTCCTTTTTTGCTGAAAAAGGTTCGCATAGCGTTACATTTTGATATATGTTCGTCTAGACTTTGGAGGGAACACTGAAGTCATGAAGGGAGGTCATCGGCGAACTGACTGGCGTGCAGTACCGAAACGAGGGTTATTCAGAGCAAATATATTGCTTGCTACGGCTGTTTTAAGTTAATGTAGATCTGTTTATCATCAGTGCGCAGTTAAATGTGAGTCGAACTTGCAAACCCGTGGTATAGTTGCTATATACGATGCAGCATGATGTTGGTCGCATTGTTGAATTGGAATATCCTAAAGACTGCTATAATTTTCCTTCTCAGTGTAAGCCTACTGGAAACACCGGTCGTTGTAAAAGGTACGTATGTGGACTAGCTGCTTTGGGAGCGTACTCTGGTTTGGCTAGCCTTATGCTATTGTTGAATCAAAGAGGCATCGTGTATAATGAAGGACACCCCGGTAACGTCGGGAGATGCCGCAGTCACTGGTGAGGGAGCATTATTTCCTAGTCGACCAGCAGGAAAAAAGTCCAGGAAGCAACGAAACATTTGAGCGACCTTTAAGGCCCTCTCAGTCCCTTACCGCAGGTACTGCTTTACGAAGGCTTATCTGACGTGGCGACACTAGGTTCAGGCGCAGGGGTGGCGTGAGGCGTCGTCAAAGAACGCAGCGCGTACAGCTGGTCAGTATTTTTCTGTATTTTTTTCAGTTATCGTGTTATTATGCGCGCGAATTATCGTGCAGTTATTTTCTATCGTAGCTGTGGTGGCCTAATATTTGACAAGACCAATAAAGTTTTATTTGTAGTGGTGTGTATACTTTCGCCAAATGTAGCACTGAATATGTACCTTTTGGGCCACATAATTGAAAGCACAAACGGGAAATTTATCTGATTCCAATGCCAGCAGATACTTTACCGAGCAGGCGACGCGTTTTCTATTCGAATTCTGAAGGAATATGAAAATCAGTACATTCGATTCCTATTTCACTTAATTTTATAGGTGATAAGTAAGTCAAGTTGAAATAGATCCTTTGTAACGCATGCTCATCAGCCAACGGCACACTTTCCTTTGAAACGAATATTACAACTTATTCTGACCTGAATGCATAGCTTTGCGATAACTTCACAATGATTTTAGTGACAAAAACTATCGTTCTTTTTACAAATTGCTGTTAGACCACACGATACCTATCTGTTGTCTAAGGCTTTTGCAATCGGTAAGAATGCTTTTATGTGGATGGAGAGCTGAGGCCTTCTGTTACAAGCATGCGTGAAAACCTACAGATCATACTCAAAAAGCATTTAACTAACTAAAAAACATTTAAGCAAGGTATCCCGAGAAGAAAACACATAAATATCTTGACTTATCTAGTAAAGCTAAGGAGTTAACAAACTAATGTTGTGTGAAGGAATAACCCAGCCATATCTGGCCAACTTGTCCGGGCCGCAACGGTCACTTGGACCTATGTACACATACGTACATCAATTTAAAATACGATTACTGCTGGGTTTTGGAACTTATTGCTAAACTGCATTGCAAGGGCGTCAGTAAGTTAAATTTCATCCAAATAAGCACATAAGCTCCAAGGTCACATCCGTTTAAGGAGATCAGAATCAATCAGGAATTAATTGACAATTTCATATAACTAACATACCGCCACGACAGAATAACTGATGGGACGAAGTTGCGAGCGATGCCTTACGATAACCTTGAGCGGAATACCTTGTGATACTCTGTACAAAAGGTGTAGGATGGTAGAACGTTCTAAAATTGTCTAAAATTTAGTACGTAGTCTCTACGTTTAGTTGATCAACCCAGCAACGTGTTATTATCATACCTGGCTTTTGTTGCTTTATTGTTGTTTGTTCTATTTAATGTTGAGGATATTAAGAAAGATGGCGACGACGGAAATCAGATGTAGTTTAGTTCATTTCGGATTGCTCCAGTTATTTGTACATGCAACAACAAACTCAGTCAGCGAGGAATCCATACAAGTACAAAGGGACGTATCTTGGGAAACGTCTAGCTCAAAGGCTACAAAACACAGCAATGCAAGCATAGCATTTTGGGCCTAACTTGAGGCAAATACTACTCCAGTTTAATCCTTGTCTAAGGGTCAGGCTAAAACACCTTGCGAATGAGTTTAGTGGAACGGTTTCCTTATCACTGTTAATTGAGGTTGTTACCAAGCTTCAAGGACGATACCTCTGTTTTAGAAATGTTTACGAAAAAATCAGGTGTCCTACAGGCACATTTTCCGTTAGCCAGTTTGTTCTCAGAGTTGGCAGATGTCTGTGCTTGCGAATTTGTCTTGTAACAGTAACTTTAGCAATAGAAATGGCATGCAATATATTTTCATAGGACTTGACAAAAGATAAATACAAATGGGCTTAAAAGCAGACATTGCAGAACCTTACGTCTTATTAAATCGCCATTCGAGACCACACTGCTAATGCGCTCAGTTACGAAGCCGGTGATCAAATGAGATTTGAACCAATCGTAAGATACAGGAGAGAAAATCATAGTAGGAAATTATTTGTAAAAAGACATCGAGAAGGACGGTACCAAGGGCCAAGGAAGGTGCTTCGTCTATCGGAAGGGATGGTGGTATAGTTATAGGTGTCTCAGACATCCAGGTTATATTACATCTGTTTCTAAGCACCTTGATGCTAACCTTATTTGGCTGTCCATGAGCGCGATGTTGAGGACCCTTCGGTTTGTCCTAGATTGAGAACAAGCATTGTCATGAGTTCAACAGTAAGCAAGTATCTGTCACGTCAACTCAGCACGCTGGCCTGCTAGCGAAATTTTGCATTACTGACAACAGAAAGCTATTCGCAAGGGCCTGATTGAAGGGACTGACAACAACAACAACAACAACAACAATGTTCAATAACAACGAACCACAACTACGACAACAAGGACCGCTGCAACAGCGATCTCAATAATAATAGTAATAATGGCCCACCGCCCCGACCTGAGCTCTATTTCTACATCCCTAATAGAAATCAATGGATATAGAGGTCACATGTTCACACAAAGCGAATCAACAAACAGCGCTATTGAAGTCGCGCCTGCAATAGCTGTTAAATTTCCAGCGTTTGCTGACACACTGCGCCCTCCGCTTGTCCGCCCATCGGCCTTTGTCTCCAGCGGCAGAGAAGAGCGTGAGGCCCTCCGTTATAATAATATATTATTACTATGCTTGTCCAAGCAAACCAACAGTGGCCGAAGGGTACCAGTTTCATGTGACGGCCCTTTAGCGACTGATCGCATTGGCATCAATATTGTTCCCTGGTCATCTCTCAACATATTTACACAGCAGCACCCTAGAACGTCCCGCAATGCTGACACACAAACACAGAAACTTTTAGCGGCAACTCTTACGCAGCAGCAGCAGCAGCGGGGTTGATGCACGCACGCACGCACGCACGCACGCACGTATGTATGCCGCGAATCATTGTACAGAAGGGCAAAAGCTACAAATACATATACTAGTTTTGCGAAACCTAATCTGCAAACATTTAACGCGCTAACCCAGCGGACGTACTGCGTTGAGCCACGATGGACGTCAGTAACAACATATGCGATGGTATCTTTGTCTACACAGTAGTCGCTATTTCTTTTTAAGTAAGCTATCCAGCCCCATCTAACCTGATCACTAATAAGCTGCTTCAGGCCACGCATGCACAGTTTGTTTGGCATTTACTGATACAGCCACCAGCACTCAGTTGTACCCGTACCCAAGCGCTCACACAGAAATAACTTGTATCAGAGCAGCTTACCGCTATTGACCGGGAACAACTTTTAAAAGCGGATAGAGCAACGCTTTGAAACAGAAATCGTGGTCATGCAGATCGGCCTGTTACTTGAGCGTTCGAGTTGAGACCTGTTGACTTTAACTAACTATAGTTCAGGACAACTGGACAGCTTACAGAAATTCACATAGATAGACTCGACGCTTGTCGCGTACGGTCTTGCTGTCGTTGCATATATCCACCGCTCTAGTGGAGTGTCGCCTGTCCTCCACACGCTGGTGTCATTGCGTTTAGTGATAATCGAAGCTGTTTACCATCATGAACCTTTCGCGTCTATCGTCGATCATAGCTCAAATTGTTTTCGTGTTTTTCGCGACCTGTGCGCTGAGTTGTAATCGGCCGCTTATCGTAGCCAAACCTTGTGGGGGCGGAGGTGTAGGTGCCGCCGGAGTTTTGGCAGCCGCTCTGCTCGTTAATCGTTACAGAAATTCTAATCGGTCATCGAATTCAGATTCAAACCAACCCGCTACGTTAATGCGACCCGCTCAGAGCAGACGGGTAAGTTCGATCGTCAATACCATACGGATAGAACGAATGATTGAGGCTGGTTATACAAGTGCATACTGGTACGTATATGTACGAGAAAGGCGTTCAGTTAATGAATTTGTTTGTGTTTCATATCAGTAATACACAAGTTACGTGCGTAACACCGGCTTTTAGAATAAAATATTTAATATGTTATAAGAATAGATTTAATTTTAGCCGACTTCAATTTATTATAGTTGCACCGAAGCTGTGTATGGCGTTTTTGGTTAGTAGCCGATTTTGGAGCTAACAAAAAAACAGGCATCTATCTACAGATAGAAGGCTTCGTGTAAATCTATTCCGAGTATGAGTTTTTCGGTGTATTCTCGACGAAAAGGAAATTGACGACGCTACGTTAGCATTGTTTCTCGGTAATTGCCCACGGTAAGCCAGTGTTATTGAATCCTTAAGATGTTCGATCTTCTTCATTGAAGCGTAATATGAGTGATAGTTTAACGCTCTCAGACACTGGCTAACCGTCTGTCAAGGAATCACACACTCCCGGGTTTGTCTAGAAAGAAATTTCTCTATCGTATTTTAATCTAAGTAATTCGAGCAGAAAAAGCTAATGTTATCGATACTTAACATCAGTCGGTGTCGCTAATGAAGTTCTCGACTGTTTCAGAGGACCGGTTAAGCTTTTCGCTTGGCCCTTGTCGCGCGCCACTATTGCTCCGAAGAGTACCGTGCCACGTTGTTACGTCTCTATCACATTGTAACGTCACGCATCGCGAGGAAACGAAATATATATATACTGCAATTATTCACGGCTCTGTTCGACTATCAGCTTCTGAACGAAACAATTAAAGTATAACCCTATAATAAACAGAGAAAAGCTAGTAAACCGTACCTGTCTGGCCAACGGGGCCAACAGTGTCCCTGCACTCTGTGCAATGTATAAGTCTCCATATTGAGCACATGGTATCTCAAAAAATAGCAAAAAAAATTGTCTATTTTATCCATTAGGCACAGTACGAACGAGCACTAACTAGTTCCTCCAAAACCTAGATAGATTTTACCTGCT